TTTGAGGATTTAACCTACATGACACAACAAAAAGCTTGTGAAACTAACACCTGAAGTAGATAATGTGCACGTTAGAACAAAGTAAAGCCCTTCCTGTGACACCATTCAGACTATTTATTGTAGATTTATTTGCTCCTAAGGCTTAGCAGATGGGAAAATAAAAAAAACAGTAAAGCTTGTGGGCAAAGACGTCTCGCTCTAACATGCACTGTGCATGTGTGTCTGTTTCTTCACTCAAGAAACTTTAAGTGCAATTAGAGGGAGAAGGGGTATGAAAAACAAGTTTTAGTTCTTCATACCCCTTTTCAAACAATATACATTAATAAATGTCAGTTCTCTGACTGCATATACTGACAGGTTTATTTATTGGAAAATTGTATTCTATTTATATTGAAATTAATTTATTTGGAAATATTTTTTTTTTGTTTGTTTTGTAACCAATCTCTTTTTGTGGGTATTTGGTTGTTTGTTTGAAGTATTTTTTGTAACTGATTTATTATTATTTGTCAAATTTTCCTGAATAAATTCCTTTTATTTTATTCATTCATTCAAAAGTGGAAAATGCAGCCAAATATTAAAGGCACACTATGCAAAATTTTTCAGTTAATTAATGTGTTCCATAACGTTTTGGATGATTAAATGAGTCATTTCAGGTTGAACAAAGGTATTCTCGGCTGCCCTGGTGGTCTGTGGGGGAAATACTGCACTTGCAATTGCAGGAGCACCGACCCGCACCCACAGGCTCAGAAGTCTCGTGAGAGTCAGTCTTGCTTTACGGCGAGAACTGCTACACGCCCCCGGTTAAAAGCATTCTCGTTGCTAGCACAGTGGCGATCTTTGTGCAGTTATGCTACGTTCACATCGGACGCAGCAAAATCGCGTCTGCTGCTTCATTTTTGCTGCTTGTACCAGTTAGTTCTGACGCGTGGCTGAAGCAGCTTTGCTGCTCTGGCTGCGCGGTGCAAAAGTGTGTCTGACGAGCGTTGGGCGGAGCTTCACTATCCTTTCTTTGCCTTGCAGCTATATTTGCTGTGATCAGTGGGAATAAAGTAGTTTTAATATGTGTTTAAGTGAGAAAATACACCTGAAAACGTAATCAGTGCCGTCAGTTCATTCAGATTATTATCCTGCCTTCAATATTTTTTCTGTCGGAGCCGCTCAGACCCCCACATACCAGCGGTGCGCCGACAGTAGGAATCCCTTCATCAGCAGCCTCTGGCCAGGTCGCCTCCTCGCGGTTCACCGCGGCAGCTGGTAGGTGTTTTTCATCTAAATAATCCAAACTGCATATTCTGCCGGCAGATTTCTGCATTTTAAGTTAATTTAGGCGTCAATAAACTGTTTAAGAGGAGAGATCATAGCCTCTGATCATCAGCGCTGTGTCTCTCTCCCTGCGTCAGATGATTAAACGCGCCCGACGCACTGCTTCAGCTGCTCAGACACGCTGCGCCTGCTGCTCAAAACGTGCCGCGGGACCTTTTGCTGCACCTTGACGCGCGTCAACCATTGACTTTGCATGTAAATTCGCTGCTTCTGTCGCACCAGCTGCGTCCAGTGTGAACGCAGCATTAGTCATTCGTTGCGTTCGCCTGTCTGCTAAGCTCAAAACAACAGCGCCTGGCTTGACGGAGAAACCAGGAGAACAGCTGTGCATATTTACGACAAAATCAACACCGGTTGCATAGTATACCTTTAAAGTAAATCCTTCAGTTCACATTATTCTACTGCAAGAAAAGCTCCTTTGTCTTTCATGCTATTTCCACATTGTCACCATTTAAGCCATTAACTGTGGAGGTTTTTTTATGTACAATTCTAAAGACACTTTAAGCGCTCCTGTGAATGAACGGCACCATTATGTTTTCTTTCCTAGAGGACAGGAAATGTACGATCCACGTTCTTCAAAGACTGTCTTTACGAGGTTTTTGATGACTTGGAAAGCAAGATGGAGCATGCAGGGAAACACCTCCTGCAATCTGTCCTGCAACTGATGGAGAGCGGCGCACTGGTGCTTACCACCAACTTTGACAACCTGTTGGAGATCTATGCAGCCCACCAGGGAACCAAACTGGAGTCTTTAGACCTGACTGATGAGAAGAAGGTAAACTGCTTCAACTGTGCTTTGGCACTAATTGATCTGTCCTGCAACAATGCATGATGTCAGCTTTTTTCCCCTAGTACAATGCAAAGGTCATTTATGCATGTGCAACTGTAAAGATCCAGAGCTAGTTTACAATATAAGACTCAGAGTAGCTGAAGAAACTGACTAGGCCAACTCAGGTTGGGTTTTAGATATGAATAAAGCTTATGTAACATGCCTGAATAGGAGAAAGATCTGCAGACATGATGCTGAAAAACAGAAGTGACTAACTTCCTGTGACTTTGCACGTCAATGAAGTTCCTTGTTGACTAGAAGTCCTTTTGTTTCTCACAGGTGGAAAACAGGCCTCTGATGTCAAATTGTATGAATCTAACTATTTACTTTTGCCACTGCACTGAACAGCAAAGAGCAGCGCTGTTATCTCCATTGGCCTCAGCTCAGAGTTTAATCATGCAGCCATTAGATCCGAGTGATCCGATGCTTAGCCTCTCAGCCCTGGTATTTATGCCTCGTCTCCATAGGGGCTAATGTTCTCTCACTACTATTTAGTGATCTTACTCCCCTACCCAGTTAGAACAGGATTCTGTGCAGTCGACTGTTAAGTATAGTCGTCTTTTTCCAGGTGTTGGAGTGGGCTCAGGAGAAACGGAGGTTGAGTGTTCTGCATATCCACGGTGTTTACACTAACCCCTGCGGCATTGTGCTGCACCCTGCTGGCTACCAGAATGTACTGAGGAACACAGAGGTCATGGTGAGCTCTAAACTTTCTTTTGGTTGGTTTGAAAAATGTCTGTTTAAAGATACCTCCAGTTTATAGATGTTATTTTGTTTTGTTTTAACAGTGCGAGATCCAGAAGTTGTACGAGACCAAATCCTTCGTGTTTCTCGGCTGCGGACGCACCGTGGACGATACAACCTTTCAGGCTCTATTCCTGGAGGCGGTCAAACACAAGTCCGACCTGGAGCACTTCATGCTCGTACGGCGGGAGGACGTGGGCGAGTTCAAGAAGCTACGTGACAACATGCTGGACAAGGGCATCAAGGTCATATCCTACGGCGACGAATACGCGGACCTCCCTGAGTATTTTGAGAGGCTGGCAAACGAGATCTGCAACCGAGACGTGTCTACGAACGGCTGGGGTAAGCTCCTGGAAAGCCAGCGGATCCGCCTCTAACTTTTTCAACGAGTTCTTTCTCTGAAAGAAGCAGAATGTCATCTCTGAAGGAGCATTAAGGACTTGAGTAGCACTATGACTATTTTAGACTTTGAGCTGGTTTGTCTCAACTCAATTTTTCTCTTGCAAGAGAGGAGTTTAAAGCAAGAACGTCAAGTTCTTTTTATTGTGTGCAGCAAATTTTTAAACATGTATATTCTTAATGACGAAGATACATTTAACTGGATGATGTCATAGACTTACAGATATATTAAGACAGGGGAAAAACGCTACTTGCTTAATTAAGTAGTTAAAGGTATAATGGAGGATGTTTTTCATGGTGGATCATCAAAATAAGCGGTCCTCTTAATTGTCAATCATTCTGGTGATATATTTACGTAAGACTGTCTACGCGCTCGTCCCCATTTTTACTTACCGGTGGCGAGTCTGACAGTGGAAAAATTGCAAATCTTCTTTTGGAAAGTAAGATTATATGAGCAACGCAACAGCAACTTTTTAACAGAGCGTGCATGAGGAGAAATGGGCTCATGGAGGCTCTTGCATGCTTTTAATAGGGGTTCCCTCTTGGGAGCAGGTACAGGGTTGTGCATGTGCCCTTTTTTTTCAAAGTGAAGAGGGCGAGTCTTTTAAAAAATTCGAGAAAATCCTCCACTATACCTTCAAATAATTAATTTCCTTTTAGGATTAATGAAGTTTGTTTTTTTTCATTTAGTTACTACAGTTTTACTGATTGCAAATATGGGTTTGAAACTTTTTTTTTTTTTGTTCCACAGGGTCACCTTCCCAAAATGCAGAGGAACAGCAGAATGGCTTCAGTACACAGAAAAACCTCCTCCAGGGCTAGAAGGAGCAGGTGCAACGCCCTCACTGTGAGAAGCTGCCACATTCAACAGACATTTTTCGCATAACTAAAATTCGGACTGACTGCATGGAAAGTGTCTTTGGGAGAATCAGCTGTGACAGAATGTTTTCATTCTTGGTTTAAATGATCCCCCGTCACCAGAGTTGGTAGAAAACATGGGATCGGTTTCTTCTTCATCTTAAAGAGTCTAGTTCACTAAGTGCGATTTAGTCTATTCTATTTGGTGATTCTTGGGTGACCTAAAAGATATCTGTTTATCTCTGATCCTCGTTTTTTATTTTATTTGAATGAGTTGAGTTAAATCCATCAATGCCAAAACCAAAAACCTCAAATGCCATTTCCTGACACCAAAATGCTTCAGAGAAACTAAACGCTGCTGCGTTAAACTCAGAGAACACAATGTTCTCAATTCAGACTGCACAAAAACTCACAGCTTTGTATCCAAGCAGATGAAATGAAAGGCGAACTCCCAAACCTGGCGTTGATGGATTTAATCCATCACTCAGAATCATGTTAGCAGAATAATTAAAGGAAGGGTTGGGCAGAATATAACTTTTTCCAAAACATGACAGGTAAATGAGTTGGTGTTATGTTAAAAAGGTCAGGAGAGGGTTTTTTTTGTTTGTTTTTTCCATAGCAGTTCTGCTCCCTGAATGGAGCAATCCCTATGCTTTAAACAAAGTGTTCTTTGTATGCTTTATTGTATTTTTAAAACCTGAATGTGTTTCTGATGTATTTATAAGGTCTATTTCAAAATAAAAGCTTTTGGTATCCCATTCATCTCATTTATAACACTGGTAACCATGACATACCTCATGGGATCAACCTTTGCAGTGATAACAGAGCAAGTCTCACTCTCTCGGCTAACTCAGCATATAGCAGCTTTATTTAGAAATGTTTACATTCTCATAAATTAGTTCAAAATGCCAGTTTGATCCTTGATTCTCTGGTATTGCACTATCAGACCTTAAAGGATGGGCTACAGAACTTTAAACTTAGATTTCCACTGAAAAAAAAACATCAAATTAAAAGGGAAATTAAAACAAAAGGGTCTCATAACTTTGATTAAAACAAACAAAAACAGCACAGTCTCAAATCTGAGACTGATAGGACGTAAAAACAAGTTTTGTCTGTTTGGTCACACTTTACAACCACAAACTTCAGTGCTATTCTACCAGGATGTTGCAAACAGAAGAAAAAAAAAATACATTGTATAGTATGCTGAACACACCATCCACACAGTAACACATGGTGGTGACAGCATCATGCTGTGAGGATGCTTTTCTTCACAAGGAAGAGTTAATGGGAAGATGAGTGGTGCTACATACGGACCAATCCTGGAAGGGCAAACTAAGGGGCTGCAGAGGAGTAAAGGCTCAAATTCCAGCAGGAAACTTTAGGTTCAGCCAGAGCTGCAGGGGCATGTTTTAGATTAAAGTTTATTAGTTAGTTTAGAAACAGCAAAGCCAGATACTTGAAAATTTTTTAATCCAAGCTAGGCAAATCTCTCAAAACCAAAATGAAAAGGTTTATTCCAGATGTGCATAGCTTATAGATGTAATCAAGGCTTGAAGCTGTCATGTATTAAATAAGGGGGTTCGAAGACATTTGCACGTGTCTTTCCTCAATTTAAGTTATAAAAAATAAAACTTTTGGAAAGCCAAAAATAGTTTTCTTGAAATTTAATCAGGAAATACTCAAGTACATAAAATACATTGCAGTTTTTGGTTGTAAGGTGACACAATGGGAAAGTTCATCTGACTTAAATATTATTTTCTAATCAATAATGAACGTGGGGGTGGGGGGGTCATGTAAAGAAGAATATTTAAAAGGGAACATCCAAATGAAGCAAAGACAGTACAGTTAATGATTAAGATGTTTTGTTCTGATTTATAAAGGACCACCATCCATAATGATTTAGCTTCTTTATGCAGTTTAGTTCAGTTAAACTGAAGAAATGCTCAATTTTAAATCCAGCCGTCACTTCTAATCTTTTAGTAGGATTCTCACCTGGAACTGTATCTCTGTTGGTTAACCATCCGCGTAATATATTAAATAAGAGATCAAAAAAGAGGCACTATGGTTGCTAAGCTCTCCTTGGGAACAGGAAACCCAATTTCCATGAAGTTGAGGTGATTGAGGGACACAATGCCAACGTTCTGCAGTTGAAACCAGTAAGATTTGATAAAAGTCCAGTTAAAATGCCATGTTAGTTGATCTGAAATACACTATTTTGGCCCAAAAAAAATAAATAATCGTTCAAAGGAAGGCTCCACTGGGTTTCAAGGAAAGCGTTCTGAGGTGCACATATGTCCGTCAATTGAGTTTATTGTCTGCAAGTTTGGTTGGAAAGCAAACAAGCATGTATGGTGGGCTAATGGTGCTGGAACGTCTGATGGCAGCGGGGCAAGTGTACCGTTGGCTTGTATTGAAAACCGATGACAGCTGCTCGTTAAGCCTTCATGAGGGCGCTGACCACAGCGTGGGCGTTGAGGCTGCGCAGGTCGTTGTAGGTCTGCCCTGTGCCCACGAACACAATGGGCTGGCCCGTGATGTAAGTCATGGAGATGGCTGCACCAACCTGAGGGCGGAAAGGTTGTCAGCTTTTCAAACTATTTCAAATAATAAAACCAGGTAGCATAAGACGAGGAGCACAAATAATTACCTTGTCATCAATGGTGTCAAACTTTGTGAGAACAATTCCATCGATGAGGCGAGGCTTGTCAGACATTGAGTGGTCAGCCAGAGCTTGATTAAACTTCACCTGAGGACACAAACAGGAGAATACTGAAATGTTCAGCTGAACTCTGAGAGGAACAGATGGGGAAAAATGCATAAAATCATCTTATTAACTTAGTGGTGTTTAGGGGAAGAGGGTGAGTGGAGATGGAGGAGCACAGAACTCCATATGAAACAGCAGGTATGTGACAATACTGACCCCTAGTGGTCAGTTAAAAAGTCATAAAAAAAAAGAAAAAGACAGATTTATGTCATAATTTCTAAAGCCAACTAACCAGCTGGTCAACTGCTTCATTTCCCACCAGAGCCTCTCCAACGAACAGCACCAAATCAGGCATGTTGACAGCGATCAGTTTAGCCAGAGCCGTCATCAGGGGGGCGTTGTCCTGCATTCGCCCAGCGGTGTCCACCAGCACCACATCAAAAGCCTGGTTCCGAGCTGGAGGAAAGGCATCCAACATGGACAGTCAGCATGGCCCATACAGTACTTTTTTAAAACAAACTAACACATTTTAATAAGACTTAATGTCATACACCAACAACAAGAACTAGTAGACGACATGGAGATGTTTCTCCAGGTTTGCACATATAAAGACTGAAATTCTCTACAGTAAAGCGGAAAAAACTCAGTTGAATTGAATATAAAGTATCCCAGCAGTAATTCTGAGGTTCTCTCACACAATCTCAATTAGTTGTAGATTTTGACAATTTTAACACAAACTTTAATCTCAACATTTCTATTGGAACTGTGCCTGTATGTGTTTAGGCTCGTAAACCTCTGCTTTTTTGGAGGTATAGCTTCCCTATATTTAACTAGAGCCCTTCTCCAGATCAATAAATGTTCCTAAGCTCCTGCTGAAGAAAAGCATGCCCACATCATGATGCCACCACCATGTTTCATCTTTGGGATGATGTTTTCTCTGCGCTGCGTGCCCCACATAATATAAACAATAATACGCCATGTTGTCCAGGTCTGACATAAAATCTCACTATAATACACATAGGAATGTGCTTGAGAGGTGAAAAAAAACTTTCAACGAATATTAATAATAACACTTTTTTAAATAAATGCCCAATCAAAGGACATTTTGGTTACCGTAGGCAATAGCCTCCATTGCAATTCCCGCTGCATCTTTCCCGTATCCCTTCTCATAGAGCTGGATCACTGGGCGACCCCCATGCTTCTCTGGTGGGTGCAGTGAGTTCAGGCGCCGCTGATGAGTGCGAAGCTGCTCCACCGCGCCCGCACGGAAAGTGTCGCAAGCAGCGATCAGCACGCTGAAACCGTTTTCAATCAGCCAGTAGGAGATCTGGACCGAGACGGAGACACATGAAGCTGAACATGTGAGAAAGACTAATCCTTAATAAAAACTGAAGGGGTTTTCAGTTGTATTTTCCTTCTTGAATGAATATTGAAAGTAATCTGTAATAAATTTCAACAAAATACCATCTCTCTGTGCCCAGACATCAAATGCAGATCGTTAACACTTTCCTTTTGAATTCTGAATGTTGCCATAAATTCCATTAAGGATTCATTGCAAACAGAATTCAAATGATTAAACTCACCTTGGCTAAGTTGGTAGACTTGCCGACCCCATTGACGCCACAAAATGTGACGACGAAGGGCCTGCGCTGGCGCTGAGCCTCCATGACGTCTCTCAGGATGTCCACTCTGCGCTTGGGCTGCAGGATCTGCACCAGGGAGTCCTGCAGGGCCTGCTTCACTGTGGAAGCAACAGCTGGGAACACACAACATTAAGTTAGACACATCATGGATTCCTTACTTCTTTCTTATACTCTTTGACAAACAATCTCGAATAAACTCAAAATTACAAAAACGAAAGATACTTCACAACAAACTACAGAAATTCAGATGATTAATAACAGCTGCAAACCTGTGATATAGTAGCATCTCTTAACAATAAATGTTAACTATCAAATATTTAACATTTATATAAATATGCAGTAAATATTACAAAATAAATTTTTTTAAATCCTTTCTTTATCATTGTTTCTTTTAATGTATTTAAAGACACTATCAGTTTGTACATAAAGATATTATTTTTGCCAAAGCTTTGATTAGTATTAGTATTAGTATTTTTTCTGTACTTTATTGTGTAAGTTAACTGGTTTGGATATCTGTAGTTATGATTTACAATTATTAGGATGTTATAAAGTCTTGTCCAGGTCTCTCTTGTAAAAGGGATTTGTAATTTCAAAGAGATTCGCCTGGTTAAATAAATTAACTGTCAATTAACACTATCAATTAAAATCCTGAGCCTAAAACTACCATGTCATTATGGGCCACTATTAAGTTTTTTTATATAGCTTGATTCTTTGGGTAAGTACGGAAAAAAAAAAAGTTAAATTATTTTTTTTTATTTTATTTCAGTTTAATATCAGAATTCTGACTTTAATCTCAGAATTTTGATTTTTTTTCTCTCAGAATTATGACTTTAATCTCTACGGAAGAGGATTAGGTCCACTGAAAAAAAAAAAGTTAACCGATTTTTCAATTTTATCTCAATTTTTAAAAAAGTCAGCATTCTGAGATTAAAGTCAGAATTCTGAATTTTTCCTCCATACTAAACTGAAATAAAATTTAAAAATCAGTTAACTTTTTTTTTTCCAGTGGACCTAATCCTCTTCTGTAGGTAACTGTTGACATTAAATGCAAAAAAAAATATTCTCAAATAAAGATCATAAATAAAGATCCACCCAAGTTTTAATGTTTAAAAAAAAAAAAAAATTGTTATTTTGTATGATTTCCATACCTAATCATCACCTGTGCCTTCTTTGATGCACAGGTGTCTATGTGCAGCATTTTCAGCTAAATCTTAAGCAGATATACTAATATATTTCAACTACAAATAATTTAATCAACAGCTTTTGTAAGTTTTTTTTTAGGAATGTTTATTTTTCTCATGTGAAAACCGAGTTACTTTAACATTTCACGAGTGTCAAAGGGATAGAAAATCATTTCAAAGCCAGAAGAAAACTTTGCCATGATCGCTGTTGCTTTCAGTAAAAATCCCTAACAGGATGTTATTCCTTAAAGTAACAAAACAAAGGGACAGGACTGAGCTGCGGGTGTGATAAACGTACTCACTGGTGAACGTGCCCATGACTTTTCCCTCCAGTTTCTTAGCAACAGATTCGCACAACTGGAAGGAAATATCCGCTGCTACGTTCTTAGCTGGTGAATGATGAGAAAAAACAAAAAGCTGAATAAAGTAACTTTTTATTTGGTGTTATTTCCACAGAAAGAAAGAGAGCTGCAGTCCTACCGATGAGGTGTTCCCTCATTTTCTCCAGCACCGGCTCCATGTCCTCACGGGAAAGGCTCTTAGAGCCCACAAGACCCTTCAGCATCCCAAACATCCCTCCAAAGCCGCCACTCTTTTTGGAACTGAGGAAAGAAAGAAATTTTAATATATTTAAGCTGAGAACTTGGAATCGGCTTTATTTGCTACGGATGTGTTCCCAAAATGAGCACTGTACCTGGTCTGGGTTTTTTCACTGACACCTACTTCCTCCTCCTCCTCCTCCTCTTCCTCCAGCTCTACCTCCTCGCTAGACTCGTAGTCCACAGAACGCAGGTCGCCCTTCATACCCTCCACCTGAATTTCCAGAAAAAACGTCCCAGATTTTACCCTCTGTGTGAGTAAAGCTGCAACTAATTGTGCACCGAGGAAACTTACTGGGTCGAATTGTGCTTCCATGTTCTTCTCCTCAGAAGCAGCTACTCCGTTCTTGTCGCTATAGTCCAGGTTCTTGATGCTGCTGCCTGCGTTGCCCCAAACACGCATCTGTTTTTCCTTTGGCTTTTGGGGCTTTGGGGATTTTCTGTAAACAGGGATTTTATTTTTTCAAAAACTAAAGCCTTAAGTTAAATATAAGTAACAAAGGCTACTGTACATCGGTGTTGTGTTAGTTAAACAATGACAAATGAAATAAAATGAAAAGATCTGCATCCTCACACTGGTTTTTCAGCAGGTACAGAGCGCTTGCGGAAGAAATCCTCTCTCTTCTTCTGCATGATCTCCTCAGGGGTCAAGTCTTTGTTACCATTTACAGCCGCCTTCTGGCCAGGCGGCGAGGTCTTAATTTGATCTCCTTTGGCAGGCTCGACTGCAGGAGCTTAAAAAATATATATAAAATAAAACTTAATCATCCAGTCATCATATAACAAACAGGCCAAGTGCTTAAAATTAGCCATTCTGGAGCATTGCTCACCCTCCTTTTTGGTATTTTTATTCTTTTTGCCTCCTGGTTCCTTCGCCTTCTCTCCACCCTTCGTCTCAATCATTGACTTCACAGTTTTTTGGGATTTCTCTGACTCCTTAAATGACCGCATGGGGGCGTGGCTTCGGACTTTACTGGATTCCTCCGCCTCTCTTTTGGTACAAAAGTGAATGTCAGTATTCGAAGTGAAACTTTAAAGATTTTCAGCGAATCACATTCTGCACAGATACCATTTTATTTCCAGTAGCAAAGGCACATTTGTTCATTTTAAACTATCAAAATAAGACCAAGTCTTCATTAAAATGCCTCTTTTAATGTTTTAGTAATAGGAGGAATTTTTGGTGGTTTGACCAGAAATTGAAGACCCAAAACTGAATATTTTTTGAAAAAGAAACCCCAAAACACAAACTACCAAATTTGTGCATTATGCATCAAATCTGTAAAAGATTTGATGTGTAATGCTGAGTACGATGCGTAAAAATCTGCAGCAGTATTGTAAAACCTAACATCTGAATAGCAAAAACATACAGTTTGCGACCAAAATTTTGACCACTTTGTGTTAATTTGTGTGACATTTTGAAATCTTATGTTTAATATTTAACATCCAAAATGGGATTTTATTCAAAACACCAACACAGCAGTGCATGATTGTAAACGGGAAGGAAGAGGAGCGCTATGCGAAAGCAGAGATACCTTGGAGCAAAGTTGGGCACCAGGGCTGTGTTTATTTAATCTATTACTTCCAATTATTAATATTATGTTTATGTAGATTTTTTTTCATTTGTTTTTTTTTTCTTCCATCAGCTCTACCAAATTAATTACCAACTAGCAGCAAACATTGTAAATGTTTTCAGGACATGCAAACGAGTTTTACAAACATGTTTCCCAACTCGGATTAGTTAGGCTGTAAATTGAGGCCAACTCCCAGAAGGGATGAAGAAATGAGAGCAAGCTTTTAAAAGTACCATTTTTCATTAGTAATTTGTTTTCATTAAGTCAAAAGTAAATTTGATTAATAAACAGCATAAATATGTTGCACAACCACAGAGCTGTGTAATTCAGGTAACAGCTTAGAAAAAAGTTTTTATTAGCAGCAATCCAATTTGAGCGTGTACAGATGGTATCGGATCAAAAAAAAAAAATGGATATCAAATAAGGTTGACTGATATGTAAACATTTTCCAACCAACAAATAGCGATCATGTAGGTGACTTTGTGGGCAAATACAAGCAAACCACAGCTGATACGATACTATTTTAAATACATTTTTTTAAGTGACGATACAATGTTTGTCAATCTGTCACGATACATTTTCCATTCAATATCTGTGATCACTATGACGTAATGTCATCTACCCATCCATTAAATTTTTTTTAACACTGATATAGGCTCACTAAATACCTGAAACATGATCTGACCATTTTATTTCCAAGCTCAACAAGAAGAAGTTTTATTCCAATTATAAAAAAAAGCACATTTTGCCATTTTACGCTATGTTAGGCTAATTATCATTGAAGATGTGTGAGTTTATTACACCTTGGTATTGGCTGCCTGTAAACAGGAAGAACTGATGTTTTCTACAGGTGCTGGTCATAAAATTAGAATATCATGAAAAAGTAGATTGATTTCAGTAATTCCATTTAAAAAGTGAAACTTGTATATTATATTCATACATTACATACAAACTCATATATTTCAGATGTTTATTTTGTTTAATTTTGATGATTACAAATGACAACAAATGAAAATCTCAAATTCATCATATCAGAAAATTAGAATATTACTGAAGACCAATAAAAACAAAGGATTTATAGAAATGTTGGCCAACTGAAAAGTATGAACATGAAAAGTATGAGCATGTACAGCACTCAGTATTTAGTTGGGCCTCCTTTGGCCTGTATTACTGCAGCAATGCGGCGTGGCATGGAGTCGATCAGTCTGTGGCACTGCTCAGGTGTTATGATAGCCCAGGTTGCTCTAATAGTGGCTTTTAGCTCTTCTGAATTGTTGGGTCTGGTGTATTGCATCTTCTTCTTCACAATACCCCATAGATTTTCTATGGGGTTAAGGTCAGGAGAGTTTGCTGGCCAATTAAGAACAGGGATACCATGGTCCTTCAACCAGGTACTGGTAGCTTTGGCACTGTGTGCAGGTGCCAAGTCCTGTTGGAAAATGAAATCTGCATCTCCAAAAAGTTGGTCAGCTGCAGGAAGCATGAAGTGCTCTAAAACTTCCTGGTATGTGGCTGCGTTGACCCTGGACCTCAGAAAACACAATGGACCAACACCAGCAGATGACATGGCACCCCAAACCATCACTGACTGTGGAAACTTTACACTGGACTTCAAGCAACGTGGATGAAGTGCCTCTCTTCTTTTCCTCCAGACTCTGGGACCTTGATTTCCAAAGGAAATGCAAAATTTACTTTCATCAGAGAACATGACTTTGGACCACTCACCAGCAGTCCAGTCCTGTTTCTCTTTAGCCCAGGCAAGACGCTTCTGACGCTGTCTGTGGTTCAAGAGTGGCTTGACACAAGGAATGCGACAGCAGAAACCCATGTCTTTCATACGTCTGTGTGTGGTGGTTCTTGAAGCACTCACTCCAGCTGCAGTCCACTCTTTGTGAATCTCCCCCACATTTTTGAAGGGGTTTTGTTTCACAATCCTCTCCAGGGTGCGGTTATCTCTCTTGCTTGTACACTTTTTTCGACCACATCTTTTCCTTCCCTTCGCCTCTCTATTAATGTGCTTGGACACTGAGCTCTGTGAACAGCCAGCCTCTTTAGCGATGACCTTTTGTGTCTTGCCCTCCTTGTGCAAGGTGTCGATGGTCGTCTTTTGGACAACTGTCAAGTCAGCAGTCTTCCCCATGATTGTGTAGCCTATAGAACTAGACTGAAAGACCATTTAAAGGCTTTTGCAGGTGGTTTGAGTTAATTAGCTGATTAGAGTGTGGCACCAGGGGCCATCAATTTTGAACCTTTTCACAATATTCTAATTTTCTGATATGATGAATTTGAGATTTTCATTTGTTGTCATTTGTAATCATCAAAATTAAACAAAATAAACATCTGAAATATATGAGTTTGTATGTAATGTATGAATATAATATACAAGTTTCACTTTTTAAATGGAATTACTGAAATCAATCTACTTTTTCATGATATTCTAATTTTATGACCAGCACCTGTACATTAGTTAATCTAATTAAGGCAGTTCCTCTGTCTGGATTTACAGTTATAATCTTCATTCTGTACGTGGCAAAGATTTGGAAATGGAATGAGAGCGGGGTGTCCTTCAGCTAAGAAAAAAGTATAATATTTTTATAAGGCTGGACCCAAGGAAGTCTAATCATCTGCTAATGTGTGGGATGTAATTACGTGGCAGACTGGAGATGTGTAAAATGCCTTTTTAACTGTCAATCGGGGCCACTTCCCGAAAGGTAAGCAGCTGCCTTCTGTAAATTCTAAGCAACTTCTCTGATCTGAGTAAGATTAAATTTTATATCAAAATCTGTTGTTATGTTTCCTGGTTTTAATACATATAAGTTATGAAGTGTTATTTAAAGAGTTTGTCCCGAGTGATCACTTTTCAGGGAAAAGAACTGGAGAGATAGAGCATCAAGGTGCTTACACAGACTATAACATCTATTATGAATAATTTAATTGATGCATCAATGTGGATAAATGTATGATGCTACCAATACAAAAAGAAGGATGCTCTTTAAGAATTGGCAAAATGAAAGAAAATGCTATTTGCGTGTAAAAAAACAAAAAAAAAGACATTCTAGTAAAATGAGCATAAAGGTGAACTTTTAAGCTAAATGCAAAAGACTTTTTATTGAAAAATGACACTCCCAGTCAGGAATCCTTTGAGAAAGAAATGTTGCACCACAATGCGATTATGGCTTAAAAATAAAGCTAACATGGCCCAACACCATGACGTGCAACTGCACAGTATAAGAAGTAGCCATGGAGACGATCCTCTTTAGGAGGGGAGAGGACCGCAACAGAATGTGGTGATCTATCATATAAATCCAAATTACAATACTAAAGCTTAATGTGGTAACTTGAAAGAAATAAGAAAACATTGAAATACTAATGCAAGACAATATTTAAATATTATGCATATTTGTGAACCATTGTATTATTATTTTTTGCATATGCCAACATAAATAAACTCACATTAAGCAAACAAATGACATTTCTTACCTTAGTAGTTTTTTGAACCTGTCCTCAAAGTCAAAGCTGCTGTTGAGCAGCTTCAGGGCTCCTTTCTGCTCCAACTCATTCTTATAGCGATCCCTGAAGTGAAGCTGGACATCATCTATAAACTTGTCCACATAAGTCAGTGTGAGGATCTTCTGAAAACCCACCTGATCACAATGGGGGGGAAAAATAGTGATGTGTCTAGATGCAGTAAACACGGGTCAGCCTCCTCCTGCTCTGCTGAAATTCATGATAATCTTCATTTAAGTTTCAGACTCACCACAAATATCAACTCAAACTCGTTGTCCAGTTTGTATTTCAGACTCAGAGCTTCATGAGTAAAGGAGTTGTTCCCACCGCGCTCCTGTTAAAGCAACACAAGCTAAGTTGACATCTAATCCTACAGCCATTATTTAAAATACGTGCTGATTTAACTTGGTTTCTGCGTCTAAAAAATTGAAGAACTATATTTTAGCAGAAAATGTATCAATTAATTTAGCAAGTGAAAAATAACGCGAGTATGGAATGAAAATAAATAGTTTGTTTACTAGAGTCGAATGTGGCTAACAGCTAGCGGTTGCTAACCGCTAGCTTAGCATTAGCTAAACTCTCGCTAATTACGCTGGAAGATAACCGATAAACTGCTTTTGATGTCACCTGCAGGATCACGGAGCGGATCAGAGCGTTGACTGGGCCCGTAAAAGACTCGGAAACCCCGGCGCCCTGAAAACACCACAGCACTATCCCCCCTTTGCTGAAGATGGTGAAGAAATCCAACATCTTGTCACCGCGGATCTGCGTTTGAGTAAATAAACAGACAAACAATGAGATTGGAATAGGAAGTAAAATCTATCATTAAAGATTAGTCCCGAAAATCTACAGTAAAACGATCAGATCTTACCGGCTTACAATTAAACGTCCGATAAAATATCCCACGCGTGGAAACCCCAACACCGGTGGAAAACTGTTTTGGACACGTCAGATGATCATTTGGGAAGTGACGTTTACTTCTGGTGTTGCATCAAGCGGAATCCTCCTCCCTGCTCCGAACATAGATATCCATAATAATATCTATGGCTCCGAACACATTTTTTTTTTTTTTTTACTTTATTTAACCAATGTACATTACACCAGGTACCAGTACAGAACTGCATTAATTGCATTCACAGAAAGTGCATAAAGCATATCTTAATACAGAAGAAAACCAAATATAAACAGAGAGGATACAATAATAATGATAATAATAATAAAATAATAACATTATATTATAAATAGATTAAAGAACAGGGCGTTAAACCAGCAGATTAAATTTACTCACGCAAGAAAGAAAATTACCAGCACTTTTTGTTTTTACAAATTCTAAAGATTTTTTCTCATTTTTCCAATGGGATATAACTGGTTTACATTTTAAGTAACGGCATTTGTGTAAATAAAATTTAACTAGTAAAATTTAAATATTAACACCAGAATTATGTTCAGTTTTCGCAACTATACCAAATAAAGCTACTCTTAGGGTAAAATCAGGTAAATGAATTCCTTTAGACTGGATCCAAATCAGAAAACCATGCCAAAAGCTTTGGACTATAGTGCAATCAAAGAACAGGTTTTTTTTAGACTTTCAGTTTCAACCTCACAAAAACAACAGCTTACAGTGTCAAAATTGATTTTTTTTTTTGCTTAGAAATTGTTTAATCTGCTCCGAACACATGTTAGAGTAGATGACAGATTTTGATTCGCGACCCCTAGTGGTTCCACACAGGTACTGCATGGGGGTCGCAAAAGTTTTGGTTATTATACTTTTTTATATTCACCCCTGTAATTTTTTTCAACTTATTCAAATTTCTTTAAATACACATTAACATGAATTCAACACACTGTGGTAAACAGATAAATGGAGGCAGAAGATGTCTTTCAGTCATCTATGATTCAGCGACACACAGGAGCTCCTTTAACTGGGCACCGTTTCATTCACAACACCTGTCCCATCAACGAGGAATCAGAGTTCCTGAAGCGGTGGTGCTTGGCGCGTGTTTCTAAGCCGCTTGTGGAGAAATGTCCTTGGCTGTGTGATAGCGAGGAAACAGGAAGCGATTCCCGTGGGATGGAAGAGGGAAATAGTAAAAACGAAGAAGATTGGAGGAGAGCAGGGTAAAAAAAATGAGAAAAGGCAGAGATCAATTGAAGGGGAGTCCTGTTCAGAAAAGTCAAGTGATAAACAATCTAGAAATTCCACAGGAAAACAGAATGGTTACAAAGTCATATTTAAATTAGTTAATCAGACAGACTCTTTTATAGATTGGAATCCGGTTCAGTTAACAAAATAGAAGAACTCCAAAGTGCCAGAATCCTCTATAGTGGAGACCTGTTAATAAACTGCAGAGACAGCCTCAACAAGGCAAAGCTACACGGATCAACAAGATTGAGGGAAAAAGAGTTCAGTGCAGCTTAGTAGAGAACAAAAAGATTAGCAGGGGAGTCATTTGAGGAGTTCCTCTAAAAGTAACTGAAAAAGAGATTCTAGAAAACATAAGTGGTGCAAAAGTAAAAGAAGTGAAACGGTTAAAAAGAACAAGAAATGGAGAAAGGTGGGACAGCTTATCCATGTTGATTAAATTGGAAGAAGAGCATTTACCCAGCAAGGTTTTCATTGGATACATGAGCTACAATGTCAAAAATTACAATCCTCCACTTCTGAGATGCATCAAATGCCAAAAATGTGGACATATAGCAGCAGTATGCAAAGGAAAACAGTGAAGTGCTGGAGAGCATGAATATGGAAAATGTGGGAAAGTAGTTAAGATCAAATGCTGGAACTGTGGTGAAGAACATACTGCTGCATATCATGGCTGTGAAGTAAGCAAAAGGTCTCAGGAAATAAGAAAAGTGAAATTTGAGCTCGGAATAACTTATGCTGAAACTGCAAAAAGGATCCCATCCAAGTCAGAAAAACTGACAAACCAACAGTTCAGCACATGGCAAGTTCAAAACCTCTGGAGCAGTGTCCCAAAATGGGAGAATATTCATTGATGTAAAAAAGAAAGATTTTGTTCTTTTCATGGTAAAAGTGATCAATTGTAGTGCTCAGACGACAAGAAAAAACGAAAATAATTAAAAATAATAGTAAAATGCAGAATAAGTTTCTTGAAGTTAAAGATTTAAACTGGGAAATGGTTGAAAACATGATGGGAAAACCAGTAGGACCATCAGACACTGGCAGAGTGATGATGACTTGAAGATAAATTAGAAATTATGAGGACAAATTTGATTAAGTATTTACTATGTTGGGTTAAGTTAAATAGTTTGGGAAAATATTATAATTTTTTTCTGGGGGTAGGTCTGGTTTCCTGTTTCCTTGCTTAACGCCTTATCAGTTGGTGGCGGTAATGCACTTACGGTAAACTAGTTTGCCAACCACCATAAAACCCCTACAAGAAGAACAAGGAATCAGAATCAGAAATACTTTAATAAGCCCAGTGTGAATTTACTTTCGTTACATGACTCCATCTGTAATAGAGTGACTATAGGACCAGGTTTATATAACACAATTTCATACAATATATATAATTAGGGGTCCCCGCTCCATCTCGCCATCACTATTGGGGTCCTTGGCCTGGAAAACATTGAAGACCCCTGGTGTAGATTATTTCTATATAGATACGGACTGTTCTACAAATATCTGCAGATTATATTTAAACTGATATCTGTAGGTCTATCACTCTATGATACTTAATCATTTATTATTTATGATTAAACCAAAACTGGTAGAATTGAACCAATAATACAATGGGTAATTTATGTTTTGTAGATTTAAAACAATATTTTTTTAAGTAGAAAACATCTTTACATATACCTAAAGCTACCAACACCTAAAATATCTAGTTGAAAAACTACTTGTGAGTTACCGCAAAATTTTATTCAACTCCGAGATGCAAAAGTGATTTTGTCAGGTTCACTAAAACATCCACACACCAATTTGGATGAGGCTTTTAATAGTTCAATCAATTAGTTTATCATATTATGCCAAAAATATCATGACCAAAAAGTTTTTCATCTATTCTGCATGCCATCAGGCCAAGATGGGATTGATTTTTCTGGAATTAACGACTATTAAAATGTTTTCCTTCTAATTTAATAATTTTAATGGAACCATTTCTATGACTAATTTCACAGTACAGGCTCTGAAAGGCAATCATAAAAAAAACCCTGGCTTCTGACTGATTTAAATGAACCCTCTGGAAATCTGAGATGAAACTTCCTGTAAGTGCAATTTACATTTGCCTTAAAAAACTGCAGTTTCCTCCTTCCTTCTCTCTATGTGTCTTGAAGGTGAAATAACTTTTAAAAGACAAATTATTTCTGCCAATATTTTTTCAATTCTTTTTTTAAGACATGACGAGAACTAGATCATCAAAACATACAGAATGTAACTAGTTTTGACATTTCTATAAACATCTTTTCTTATCAAAGGGTTAACTGCAGTGAAGCGTAAAGCTAGAACTAACTTTGCATTTGAAATACAGTGAACATGTCTGGGCGTCTCTTCCGTCAAACAGTAACTTCCTCTTAGTTTGGGGATTAGAGTTACTTTATGTCTGCTCCTGTTTGTCTAACTATAATATCTCTCTCCTTCTTTATATGACATATTTGGGAGAGAAGCTCAGCAGACATGATGGTATTAACAACATGTATGGTAAGTTAGTGGATCTTATATTTTATGTCATGGCAAGGCTTTCTTAATGTTGAATGTTTCTCTCCTTTAAAACCTGATGAGTGCACAGATTCTATTGGCTGCTTTCCTGTTGACTTTAAAAAAATCAGGAGGTCAAATTATGTAAGTTATAATTCCAAAGTTTTCCTGTAGCAAGGTTATATAGGATTTATAAGAAAGAATATTGATTTATTTTAACAAAACAATTGAAACCGCACTGCTCTCCATAGCTCTCTGTGTGTCCTTAGTGTGCGTTGCACCACGCTGTTGATTTATTTTTAGTCCATGGTGAATTTTTCTGTGCTGGGGTTTATAGGCTCAAAGGTTCAAGTCTGCACTGCTCCATAAATTCAGCATACATACAGTGTTTCTTTATGTTAAGTTGAACATTACTTTGACAAATCATTTAATTTCTCAAACACCAAAGAGTTGCAGCCACAAGTTTGCACACTTTCACAGTATGACTCATGTAAAGGTTAAGCATTCATTCACCACTCTGTTAGATCCTTGGTCCACAGCCCTCTGAAGAGAATGCAAAATACATTTTTTTTTACAATTTACATCATATTGTTGTTAGGTTGCTGGATTTATACAGTGCCACTTTGAGCCCCGAGGATCACTTTTAAATAAAACGTAATATCAGATCAGTTGGATTTAGTTCTGGTTTTCTGGCAGGACAATTTTAAAACTTCATTCATTCATTACAAATATGCTGAAAAAAGAAAATTCTCACTTCACCGTTGGCTTTCTAGAGCTTAGAATTGGAGTTCCTAAACATTTTAGTCCATGGCCCCAAAAGTAACAGAGCTACAAACTGGCAAACATAAAAAAAAATATTAGTATTTCATCCCATAACAAATACAGAGTGAGTTTTTTATACCGTATTTTCACGACTATAAGGCGCACTTAAACGTCTTTTTTTTCCCTCAAAATGTGCGGTGCGCCCTATGGTGCGGTGCGCCTTATGTGTGTTGTAACTGCGACTTTTGAGACCACCTCATTGAGGAGATGATGAAAGAGTGGCTGAATGTAAGGAGACCAGGTGTTTTTTTTTTCCACTCATCACCATCGCTGTTAATATGTAACTCCATGCGTGCCCATCTCACAGCTGATGTGAAAAACATGGGGAAACAAATTAACCCTGTGCTCGCTGTTCAACCGCTCGACATCGGTGTGAACCGGACGCAGCAGGTGCAGCAGAAGCAGTGAGTTTACATGCAAAGTCAATGGTTGACGCACGTATAGGTGCAGCAAAAGGTCCCGCAGCGCGTTTTGAGCAGCAGGAGCGTTTAAGCATCCGCCAACGCTCTGCTGCTGCTCGAGATGGAAAAATTTAAGTTTTGCTGCTGGACGCGCCGCATCAACCAATCAGAGAAGCTGATCTGGGAGCTGACAGCGAGACAGACACATCGCTCTGATGACATATGATATTAACGCAAATGGAAAAGGCTGGATGGATGAGGAGATGATGAAAGCGTAGCTGAGGGAGGTGTAGCCTATGTGAGGAGACCAGGTGGTTTTTTCCACGCATCACCATCGCTGCGTGCCCATCTCACAGCCGATGTGGAAAAAAAAGGTGAATCAAATGGATACTGTGCTCGCCGTTATCCCGGGGGTCTGAAAAAGGAGCTTCAACCGCTCGACATCGGTGTGAAGCGGCCGTTCAAAGTAAGGCTGCGAGCGGGGTGGGAGCGATGGATGGCCGACAGAGACCACAGTTTCAGGATAAGTGGAAGGCAGCGCCGGGCAAGTTACGCCACCGTTTGCGGATGGATTGTAGATGGACTAACGTGTCTGCTGGCTCTGTTGTTCAAGCTTTTGCAAAAGCCGGCATTATTTCTGAGGAGCTGCGCTGCACGGAAAGTGACTCTGACAGCGCAGAAGGGGAAACTGTCATGTCTGATTTAGCGCAGCTGTTTTATTCAGAAACAGAGGATGATGACTTTGATGGGTTTGATTAATACTTTGTAATAAATACATGAATAAAGCACAATCATACTCAGTTTTGCTCCCGCTCTATTTTTCTACCTGAAAACTTAATTCAACAGCAGCCTCTGGGCGGGTCTCCTCCTCTTCACCGCGGCGGCTGGCAGGTGTTTTTTCATCTAAATAATCTAAATCTTGCAGCTATATTTGCTGTGATCAGTGGGAATAAAGTAGTTTTAATATGTTTTTAAGTGAGAAAGTCCAGCTGAAAACTTAATAATTGCAGTCAGTTCATCCAGATTATCTATTTCTGTCGGAGGCGCTCAGACCCCCACATACCAGCGGTGCACCGACAGCAGAAATCCCTTCAACAGCAGCCTCTAGGCCGGGCAGCCTCCTTCACGCGGTGGATGGCAGGTGTTTTTCATCTAAATAATTTAAACTGCAGGCACCCATAAAAGCAAACATATTCCGTCGGCAGGTTTCAGGATTTTAAGTTAATTTAGGAGTGATCACAGCGCTGTGTCATCTGCGATGTGTCTGTCTCACGGCCAGCTGCCAGGTTTGATTAATACTTTTTAATAAATACATGAATAAAGCACAGTCATACTCAGTTTTGCCCCTGCTGTATTTTTAAATACGCAGTAGAGGTATTTAAAGGTAGTAGAGGACATGTACCTGTATATAAAAAACGCGCCCTATAGTCTGGTGCGCCTTATGTGTGTGTTAAATACAGAAATGGGACACATAACTGAGACTGCGGCTTTTAGTACGGCGCGCCTTATGGTCGTGAAAATACGGGTAAATGTATTTTTACAATGACATTTGATACGCAATTTGAAATGAATTTTTATTATTGCATGGTGAAATTTTATAAATTAAATGTATAGTTAGTATATTAATCATGTATTAAATTGGGTGCATTATTAAACTTAATAATGCACATGCTCAATTTAATTTGAACTCTCCTTTTACTTCTTGTTCTTTAGCCCCTTTTAAAATCAAATTTCATGAAGGATTAAAAGAGTTAAATTTAAGTAAGTAAGTGAGAAATGCTTATTTTCATGTTTTTGCTTTCCAGGGTGGTTCAAACAAATGTTTAAATCGACACAAAATGAGAAGGGCAAGGCAACTGAAAAACCGAGGAGAGCTGGTGGGAATAGATATGAATTCTCTTCATCGGCATCATCACAAGGACCAGCTGTAACTAAACCACCGCAGTTAAAGCTTTCCCTGAGTTCAGAGCTTAGATGGAAACGGAAATATGACGTGTTTGTATGTCACAGCTCTGCCCAGAGAGACATTGAGGAGGCCAAACGCCTGGTTTTGTTCCTTGAGACGCCGCCCCGCAGCCTCAGGTGTTTCCTGTGGCACAGAGACTCATGCCCGGGAGGTGCTATATCCACAGAGTTTTGCAAGGCTGTGGAGAACAGCCACATACGGGCTCTGCTCATTACTCCAAGCTTTGTGCAGGATGGTTGGTGCAGTTACATGATGCACCAGGCCCTGGCAGAAGGACCCATGTCCAATAGGATGATACCACTGCTTCAGGGCCTGGCACACTCTCAATACCCGCAGGAACTGAGGTTCTACTACTACATTGATCTGAGCAGGAATCCTGACTATGGCTTCAGTGTCGTCAACAAGACCATACAAAGTTGTAAGTGATGAAAAAAAAATTGCCGTGCTAAACTATTGACACTCCTTTTACCCTTTTTAAAATCATTTTTTTTTTCATTGTTTTAAGTCTAGCCACAGATTTTAATGTACTTTATCAAGATTTTACTGAATGTACCACCAGAAAGCATAGGAGAAAAATCTAAATGATTTTAATATTCTCATGAATGAAAATCTGAAAAGCTTAGCTTGATTTGAAGCCCATTTAAGTTTTATACCCTTAAATAAAATGACTTTTAGACATCCCCTCATTATTTAAATTAAAGCCTCAGAGCTTTGCCAGAGAAACATTCATGTCCAATCTTGATAAAATACATTTCTTGAATTGTGTGAAATGTGTAAAATGTGTAAAACAGCATTAAGTCTACTTCAGGTTTTATTAGATTCACAATATTGTTCCGTGAGTCAAACAAAAAAGAAAACTTTGGAAGAGATCACTAACTAATAGCATCTTTTTCCTTAGATCTGGAGAAGTTGACACAACATGAAAATAAACTATGCTGTAGCCTGGACTGCTCGAGCCGGGAGCCACATGGAGGAGACGGCATCCAAGAAGGCGATGTGAAGTCTTTGCAAAACCCTGTGGAGACTTCGACTGCAAGAGAAGGAACACAGCAGAGAGATGAAGGCATCAGGGATTTGCTGCCAAAATGACAAAAAAACACACCTTACAGACTTTTTATTAAACTCTGCAGTGTTCTAAAGAAATTTCAAGGTCTGCAGAGTTCCTTAAATACTATTGACTTTCTATTGGGTATGTTCTCAAACTGCAACAATCAGAAACATTTGGGTTTATTTTCTCTGCCATATCTACAGGTATGTTATATGAGCAAGATGTACCAACCCGTAAGCTAAAACTTATACAATAATAATCTAATATTAAATGTGCGTTGGCTAGAATAAAGAGAAACCTTTATTTCTTTCCTTTTTAAATCAAGTGCATCCTCAGGTTGTTCAGATTCTAAGCTTCCATGTGGCATTCATTGTTTTAAGCTTGCTTTAATTGGATTTTGTCTGGTTTAAACTTTTTAATTTCTCTGTGCTCCCTTAATGACCTATTTTGTGTGTCCTGCTTCTGTTTGACAATAAAACATGTGCTCTTGTAGACGTGGACCACAAATACAACAGGAAGCAGGCTAGTTAACGTGGAGTGGTATCTTTTGATAAAAAAACAGCAGAGAAACGGTAAGAATTGTTAGCATGTTGATATATTACGGTTAAGAAGGAAGTAGGAACCTGAGTAATCAGCGAATGATAAACTGCAAGGAAAACACAGTGGGGAGATATCTAAAAAAGGATAGAGAAGGAGACACTGAGATTAAATCCACTACGGCAAAGGAAATAAGACAGAAACAGAGTGAAAAAAAAAGGACTCAGAGTACACAGCTGGACCCAAAATTTTTCAATTGCCAACTGCAAATAATGTTTACTGGTTAGGCAGATTACACATTGAACAGATCGCCAACAGATCGCTAACCCTACCCCATCAACATACTACACAGGACACACAGGAAAAGCAAGCATACACACATCTTCTTCTAAAGACAAATTACACTGGAAAAACAATCTAGAAATAAGTAAAAATTTCTTAAATTAAGTGTATTTACCCTTAATCTGAGTAGGTAAATGAGATAGTTTGCCAATGGAATGAACATTTTTACTCTTAAAATAAGATTATTAGATACAATGCACTTAATATGTTTTTATTTTAAGTGTAAATTGCCCTGTTCCATTGGCAAAATGTGTCTTTTAACTCCTCAATCCAAGAACATATGCACTTATTTTAAGAAAAAATGACTTATCTAGGTTTTGATTATTTCCAGTGCAGATGGACCTGTTTACCCGACAGTCATGTTTTTGGACAAGGGAGTAAGCCAGAGTACGGACATGGTGCAAAAATGAAAATTCCAGGTTGACAGAACTTAGGCCCGGATCTGAACCCTTATTGCTACAAGATAATTCAATTCAGTTTATTTATATAGATCCAATTCACAACACATGTCATCTCAATGCACTTTACAGTTCACCAGATCATACAGTCAGATTGATTCAAAGTTTTCTATCTAAGGAAAACCAGTTGATTGCATCGGCTCATTGACTCGGATGTCAATCCCTCCCAATGGATTACAATGCTAAGATGGCAACCACCTTGAAGCTGTTTCTACCCTAAGCCAATGAGATTTTCAAAAGTGCTAAAAGTAGGGGAATTATAATTATTCTAACATCTTAAGAATTACCCCGGGAACTAAGCCTTGGTGGATTTTAAGATATTCTGTGGATCATTGTCCTGTTTAAAGGTCATATGGCGAACTAAGCTTTAGCGTTCCCACAACCTAGAAATTAACTTTATCCCTGAGAACATTGTGGTTTCTTTTAGTTTCTCTTTCCGTTTTAGTATTTTGCAAGGACATTTACTTTGTTGGGCAATTCTGCCAGTAATTTGAATGAAGCTCCTGACTGGTCACTTGTTTCTGCATGCCTTATATAGGCTTTAGCAGCCATGCTGGTAATTAATCATTTGAAAAACATCTGATTTAATGAAAAAAAAAAAAGCATATTTCCTTCGTGGTCTGAGGTGAGGATCTTTGTTTAGGATTGCTTGAGTCAATGTCAAAACCTCTTTTCTTAGCAAGGTGGCTATTTATTTTTTATCTTTGGGTTTTCATTGAACCCAAAAGATCATGACGTGTCATTTATTATGCAGACAATGCTTCCATTTCCTGGATTTTATAAATGCTATCTTATCCCACACACTTCCCAGTTTCTGATCAACAGTTTAGCTCCACTTTTAACTCGACAATACCCCCCATCCATATCCCGCCCACCACCTCCTATAATCATCCTCTTTGTGGTGAGCCACTTTTTCATGGGGAAAATGTAAGTAATCTCTAAAAGGAACAGTTGCTTCCAGAAGCTTTTAGTAATCCTTGCACAAACATAGCAAAACACATTTGTTTAAATGGATAGAAAACAAAAATACTGGTTTCTTATTAAACATAAAAAAAGAATATCCAAAAGCAACTTTTTGCGCATTCAGAGTCAAATCAAACGTTTTCTACTCTGGATAAAAAATTTAAAAATCTTCACTGAAATGAGATCTATAATTTGCACACAAAAAAGGGAAGTGACTAAGACACAAAGTAATTTCATTACTTCTCACATCTCCTGTGGTTGGACTTTTTCTTTATATATCACATTTATTCAATTAGCTTAGATCTTAAAAATGTAAGTTACTGTTATTAGTCTGAATTGGACAAAAGCCTTCTAACATCCAAACAGAAGAATTTTAATATAATGACATCAAACAAACAAAACAACAATGCAGCTGTGTTATGTGGCACACTAGGTTAGCTAAATAACTTACCTAAATGATTAAGCAGTTGTCAGGTGTGCTCCAGATCGCCATCTGTGATCTGTGGGTACATTTAGTTTTGGAGGCTAATTATTCAATTTAATACCTTTTTAATGTTTAGTCTCTTTCGGTCTTCTATTTATCTATATTCTTTTTTTTTTTATTGGATTATTGTTTTAGATTCTTATTTTAGTCCCTACCTTCTGATTAAATAGTGAATCCATTTTTCGTTTTGCCTAGTTCCCCTGTGCTCTCATTCGCCCCAGTGTTCCCCTCTGTTAACTTATCTGGTTACCATGTCTTTGGTCACATCCCCAAAGGTTATAGGGCAGATAGTTCCCTTTGTCACTTACCACTTCCTACATTGTATCCAGCTGTTGCTGTTATGTTTTCCTTTGTGTGCTCGTTCCTTTTGTAGCTGCTATTTGTTTTTTGATTTTTGTCTTTAGCATTTGTGATGAATCCATTTTTAAATTAATTTGTTTGGCCCGTGTGGGCTTTACTTGAAAATTATCCCACAGGAAATTGTTGTTGGTTGTATTCTTTACCTCTGAGCCACTGCCGCAAACTAATTACATTGATCAAATATATATATATTTTTTTACCACAAATGTTTTGTCTTAAAATACATTACTGGTTTTATACCTGAATTTTGTAATACCGGTATATATTGTAGTAAAGACAATAAGTGGAATGAGTTTTATCCATATCTAATAACTTTACAAAAATGATGGTGAACCACGGTGATGAGTTTCTTTTTATTCAGAAACGTGTATTTGTGTTCTTGTATTGTTCAAGCTGCATGGTTAGATGTGGCAGCAGATGAATAAGTCAAAAGTTTTTTCCATTTTGTAATTGTGAAGAGAGATCTGAGATGAATAACTAATCTATAAATCTACAATAAGCCTATCTTCCCACACTTTATCTAATAAGATATTAATTATGACTGAAAATACAATGTCCGACATAGCGATTAGTCGAAATTAGGTTCCTTTAAAGTGTAGCTAAGCTCAACCTTAAACCTTGGATTAGGGCCTTCCTCAGTTATTCCTCTTCAAAGGAGTCTGATGGGCAGAGCTTGGTTAGAGTATCCAACAATATGACTCAATAGAAGCCATACTCTAATATTTTTCATTCGAGTTAAAGTAAAACGTAGTCATCCAAGAAATTACTTGAGTAAACAAGTATTGGTTAAAAAGGCTTCTAAAGTACTGAGAGATCCCTGGATCATAACATCAGACTAAGTTTTTCTCCATTGGTTTGAATCATTTCTAAAAAAAGAAATGACATTCTTAAAATAACATGGACAAACCTCCAAGCAACTGGAAAATTGTTGACAGCAGAACAAAGGCATTTGTAGACCGTTTTTTGGGGGTGCTGAAGCACCCTTAGGTTGAATCGAAGCACACCAAAAATATGTTTTTTTTTTAATAATGTATGCACTTTTTAAATTGAAAAAAGTACATCAAAAACATACTAAATATAGAACAGTCTAAAAACTTTACAGCACTTGGATAAAAAAAAAAAAAAAAAAAATATATATATATATATATATATATATATATATATATATATATATATATATATCTCAAGAGTATACATATTCTCCCCTTAAAGATGGAAAAAAAATCAGCTTCCAGTAACATAGAAAAAATTTGACAAAAATCATGCCATTAAATTAAGTAATATTAATAATAACCAAACAAAAAAAAAAAACAAGTAAACCAGCACGATGGAGCTCCTTAACTAAAATGTTGAGCAATCACTGCAATCAGGTGATTTCTTAAATGTTCAGTCAGATCTTCTCCTGTTGAACGTTTGTTGATGAAATGTTCATGTGCAAGGTGCTTTAATGTGTCTGGGACTGTTTTTTAAATAATTATTTTTAAAATCACAATTCAAAATCAATATTTCAATCTATCAAATCATAACTTTGTATTTTTTTATTTATATTTATTTTCCAGTTTGCTTTTCATAAGAATTACTGTGGTGAATTTATCCCTTTTTTTATCCGGAGTGTGTCTAAATTTTAGGCACTTAGCAAGTTTCAAAAATGTAGAAAATGTATGTATAAAACAAATAAATGTATCTTGCCTGTCCAGAAATCTGCCTGGGTGCTTAGCACCCCTAAACCTCTGATCATAGAATCGCCCCTGCAGCAGAATAACATTTCTCATTCATTTGATCAAATTGCAAAAGTCTTTGTTCATTTCTCAAGTGTCTCAGGGCTTCTTTGCAAATGTTGAAGCACAAGAATCCTACAGTTAGCATAGTTAGCCTACATTTATCACATTTTCCAAAAAAAAAAAGAAAAAAAAAGGATATTGCAGATCTAATTTGTTGATTCCCGTTAAAACATGTCAGTACTGTCAGGGTCTATGGGGTTTTGTAGAAGACCCAAAGGCTCAGATGTTTCCTGCAGATTTAATGAAGAGGTAGAAGTATTAATCCAAAAATTACTGACAACTCAGGAATCAAAACTAGGAGATGCACAGAAGAAACAACCAAGAGAATGCAGCCATGAAGAACTGCACATGAGGTACAAGGGAGATAATCAGTTGATAGGGAGCAGCTGTGGACATAAGCGACTAGAAATGAGCAAAGGGGAAAGAAAAAGGACACTAGAGGGCAACAAAGAATAACAAGGGAAAACCACAGGATCTAACTGTTACCAGAAAAGAACTTAAATAAAGCTAGATGAAATTAAACTGATGACTACAACTGAAACTACACTAATAAATAAATAATATTCC